CCCTTAGCAGGATGCAGCGCACCCTTCATGCGACTCGCCGAATATCTCACGGCGCTTCGCGCTTGGTGATGTGAGAGCCTGGTCCGGTGAGAACCCGGCGTGCTCCGTCCCGGCTTTGTAGGGATGCGAGGTCAATGGTCTAACGACTACGGCATGCACGACTATGAGTACACCCCCCCCCCTCCTGTGGTACTGTAGGAGCCGTGTGAAACTCACATAGTTTTGTAGATATAACAATTTTATGTCATTATTGTTTCATTTTTATTCTTATGTTTTCTAACGTCTGGAAGGTAGGTATCTCACTCATATCTATCGAGAGGGCGACAACAGGCGCTTCCCTCTCTCATTCAAGAAGCAAGTTTCCCTTCCTTGTGAACTATTAATAGCCGCGTTTAACACACACCGTCTTAAATACCAAGACCCCTAGCGGTATTCTGCCATTGACATCCACTAACACCGAGGTTTAGTGAGACTGTTTCTTGTTGCCCTGGCCTAATTTCGTGAATTTCTTGACTTTTTCTCTGCACCATCTTCTTCACCTTCGGTAGTTTACGGGACGCCATGTCTACGTCCTCCGTATTATATTCCGAGCCTCCAGCCATCTTCCCTCTCTCTGCATTACTCTATCAGGTCCATCTTCCCCCGCTGCCAGCACTGTTGCTGCTCCGATTCGCACCGAATGCAAGCCGACCTGTCTAGCGTCACCACAAGTCCTCTCTATGCTCTGGCGAAGGATATGCAGGGCCTTGGAATACCGCAAAACCTTAACCTTGACTTAAACTGCAGGGAAGCGAATGCAGGGGGGGCGTTCCGAGGCAAATAGGGGATGGCGCGTCACCGTTCCACCGACATCGCGACGTCACCGTCACCGATGTTGATCTGAGAACGCTCACCTCGTGCTTCGTCGCCACGTACGATCCCTGCTCCGATGCATCTCCTTCGTGGCCGCGAAACCGAATCCGAACACCCGTGGTCCTGAACCAATGCAACGCAGACAATGCTCGCTCATCTAATAAAATCTGGAAGTCTTCCCGCCGCAGGGCAATCATCCATCCGGTGCCCGCGGCCCGACGTCGAGGCAAAGATAGATCTTGTCTGATCGTGCCGCCAGAACATTGCGTCAACGTCAAAGCATACCCACAATATACACCCGACTGCCCGGTCCCCAGCACCAACTGCTGTCCCCAACGTCGATCTCCCAGCATAACGGCACACAAATCCGGCGTTTCGCAACAGCTTGCGCACGAGTGCGTGCGAATCCCAACCAATGGGCGCATCGGTAGGCAAATGTACCTGTCTGTCAACCCGGTGATAGTTCTGTACCGGTAGTTCTGTACCGCGGCAAACTTTCCTGAGGATGATCATTGCCATGTTACCCTTGTCGCACACCACCACGCCGCAAAGGCCACGAGGGCTTGCAAATATCATTGCCCCCATGCTCCTCAGCCAAGACGGACCCGGTGTCTTTGATCAATCGCAGAAAAGCACACTGTGTCCTCCAACCCGACGGGTACGTTATTCGAGACGACTGCGCAACTGAATCTCGCGGACGCTCTCGCGGCCAAGAATTGACTCCGGTGGAGTTCGACGGCCTCTCGGGGCCCAAGACTAGTCCAGGTTACGCCATGCAACCAGACGAGAACATTCGTAGAAAGGACTCCGTCTTCCATCGCGAAATATCATGTCCGCAATCATTCATGTTTTTGACACCTCCAACTAACGTGTGACGCCTCCAATCACCACCCGAGGCCAATATCTAAGCGGGATACACATGAGCGCCGCCGAACGAGCCCCCCCCCGGTACTTGTTTTCCCATGAAACACTGTGAGAGTTGTCTCCCACCATACGTACACTACACTATTCCGCGCGTACTCCCGCCGCATGTCGGGTTGCACAATGAGCACCCACGCGCATACCACTTTGCCAGTAATTCGAGTGTACTAGTACAAAAGCTAGCGAGCCCCTTCACCCGTCCACAAAATTGAAATGCCACCAAAGTCTGCCCAGCGGAACCCAGGCCGCAAAGACCCCCCTCCCCATCGCGTCTCCGGACGCGTCTGACCGTATGAGGCACGAAACGAACATATGGCTGTGCGAAGAACGAATTACATGTAAAGGTGCTCGTCCATCCACGCCCGCGAACCCAGCCCCCATTCGACAATCAGGCTCGAAAGTCTCCGCATATCTGCAAGACACTCGGGACCTATCCTTATCGGTGTCGTTTGGAACTCACGCTGACGACCGGAGCCAACCTAACTGACCGAGCATGCAACGAGCAAGCTATCGACCAGATTGCACTACCAGGTACTTCACATTCAGGAAAAACTTTCCGATCACGCCTGTCCAGTCGGACGTAGATGCTCAAACTGGCGTGTGTTCGGGGCACTCATGAATTGTGGCACGTAGGCGTTCTAGCTTGTCGGTGGGAACCGAAAGGGTCATACTTACCGTATCGGCTTCCCGCACCAACGCAAACAACCCGGTCTGCATCGAAGCCAGCTTGTGCGGTGGACAACCGGGGGGGAGGGGGCGATTACAGGACACGCTGCACTGATCCGGAGCACAGGATGCCAACGTGACTTTGCACTGCTGTGCACCGTTTGGCGTCCAATTCACTTCGAAGCAGTAACAACAGCATCGTCTGCACAACGCTTGACGCAAAATGAGCCTGAACGTACCCCTCCTGAGCCTGAGGGAATACGGCATCCGGCGGGGGTGTCGGTGGAGGTGTCTCCTGCTCTACCGTTAGGTTGTACCTGTACGTGATTCGTAGCTCTACACGCCTGCTCGGCTACGACCTCATCGGGCCAAAACGTATGGTCGTGGGAATGGTCTAACACGTCAGTCATATAGTAGAAAATTCCGTGCGAATTTCACCACCCGAGTACCAGGCGTCGATTTACCACGAGAAAACCCAGAACGAGCACACAAAAGCCAGTGCGTCTGGAAATCTAACGGCTACCCGCCGTCGGGATTTCGATTCTACTCAAATCAACACAATCCGCAACAAAGGGCCGTACTGCCCTCGCAACAAACAAGTGGCAAGACTCGACCTCTGGTACCTGGCATCGGCATTAACCCTGGTGACCTCGGGTAAGCATTCGAACGTCCAGTCGATGGTGCTATGTGATTTTTCTTAGTGACGCGACCACGCCGGCTCCGCAAACCAGGGATAGATTCGGCCGGGCACCACCTTTGTCAAAATGCCTCGTCTTCCTTTCTTCATTGATTGAATTACTGTCCGTGACAAATGCTAGTACTGCATATGTAATGTTCTCGCTAGAAGGCAGTACGTGTGTACAAGTACAGAAGCTGGTCGAACAGTGACTACCACGAGAGTTATATACATCTGTCATACACCTGCCCACCACAAAATGCTACTGAATCGAAGGCACGAAGGCAATAACTACCCATGCGGCACGTGGCAAAACGGGTGATCCACCAACATCCACCAACGACCTACCCGATACATGGTCTACAGCACCCCCGGCGGGAGTGTCCCGTTGCCAAACGACGATACCATTGGGCGGCTCATCGCCCGTGGCCTTGCAAACAAGACTGGTTATATCTGCCACGATCTTATCCTCGTGGCAACCACCGGCCACCACGTTTGCCGAAGACAACAGGTTGTCGCTATACCGGATGTGGCGACTGTGGGTAGTACGCGCGGGGTGGCGTCCCTGGGCGCGCAGCCAGCGGTGCTAGTCCGAGCTCCACGGTCTTGCTCTCCTGCGGGGTGAAGCCCGTTGGTTGAGCCGAGGATAGGGATAGGTGCGGCCGCGACGTGGTTCGGAAAGGATGCAGCACGCGGTGTTAGGACACGCACATAGGAAACGCTAGTTTTGGTCGAAGCTAAGGTTCAAGTGTAGGGGTTCATAACCGAGTTCAAAAATGGTGCTCAAGTTCTTAGATTTCTCGATATTCGAGCCTGTGTCAATTTCTTCCCTGCCGGGCCCTCACGTCCGGGCGCTAAATAGCCATAAGGAACTGGGACCTTGCCAAAGAACGACAGCCACAGCTTGTGGGACAGGTGAATTCTCAAACTTCGTAGGTAGTCTACATGTATGTGAGTATGGAAAACGATTATCTTATGAGACGAACCACCGAACACCTCACCAACGGTCGTGTCGTACAGGAACAACTAAACAATCCTTGAGGCGAGAGAAAATTTGACAAGCTCTATGACAATATCGAACGGTTGGATAGCGTGCGGGGCAATATTTGACCTAAAACGAATTTCGCGCCGAAAGCACGAGACAAGGACACGCGAGAAAAGACAGGCTGATACCGGATTCCGCGTAGCGTACGTACAGCAGGTCGTGACATTCTCTCTATGAAGGCGAAGTGTCCATATACAGCATCAATACACGGGGCGGGGCCAACGACCGTCCACAAAATGGCAAGAAACAATCGAAAGCTCGCCTCCAACAAATGTTGCTACTTTGTCAGGGCGTGTCGACATGCCGACGCTCTTTTGGGCATGACGCTTCGGACAAAGCCGAGGTGGTGATACTGCGGTGAAAACAATGTAGCGCCGGCGAACCGATGCCAAACTATTCTTCAGCACTCACGTGGGGCACGGCCGTGCCATCACCGTCCTCCCACAAGAACACCGCAGTGAAGGAAAAAATAGCACCCAGGCCCATCGCGATGGCTCCGAAAAAAGGGGGCAAGGCGTACCAGAGGGCAGTGGTGCCTTCGCTCGATCCGTCGAAGGAGCCATCGCCGTCGACAATATTTTCGTCATCCGTGATCCTGAAAATTCAAGGTCAGTCGTGGCGGGTTGATTTTACGGAAAATTTAAGGACGGGCAGCCGACCGTGGGTCGCAAAGGCTGCCTATCGTCTCCGGCGATGTGTGAAGTGGTAAAGAAAATCCCCCACTCCCGACGGATAACCTAATGGGCAGCAAAAACGGAACCATTGACTTCAAGCCGTCAGCCAATTACATCATCTCGACTACCAACTGCAAAACGTCTCAAATTGGCACCAAATCGAATCAACTCGGACTAGTAGAACTGGCCTCTGTGGGAGACAATATTGCCGGTCTCACGCCATGAGCTGCGTTGTACTTGTTGCGCTTGCGAAAAGGACGACTGAGGTGTTCATACGCTCCTTTCCACCCACAGCGAACGCCGAGCATCGTTACCAAAACAAAGGTTTGTTGAACAACAGCAGTGAGGAATGTCATCCTGATCAATCCCAACGAAGCTCAATTCGGCAGCTCTTCGAATCTGCGCTACTTTCTCGGGGCTCACCATCGCAAAACGGCGAAGAGGTCGAACAGCGCACATACAGCGAATCCTATGCCGCCTATGGCGTACATGTACTGGTCGTAGATGCACAGGACAAGGCCGCCCACCGCGAAGACGCCAAAGGCAGCGTTCCGCTGCCAAGGCCAATACCAACCTTCCACGAAGAGGCTGATCGTGTGGATGACGATCGACAACACAATACATAGTCTTGCCTGCGGAGGAAAAAAAAAGACGGAGGGAGGGGGCGTCAGGATAAGCTCGGTGTGATTATGGCGACACGATGGCGGTGTCAATGATCTGAATTGTTGCTGCCATCTCCGTCGGCGTCTCTTGCACAAACCTTCCTCCCCTCTGACTGACCTAGGAGCGTATTTACTCCGTGACGTTTTTCCGAAAAGCACGCAGCGTAATGGGAGCCCTACCGTAGGTCGGTGTCATCACTAGCATGTAGGAGGACTGACTGTCGCCCGTCCATAACCCACCCGAGACATCGAGAACGGAGGGGCCACGCAGCTGCCAGGGGCCGAATAGGGCCACCTCTAGGAAAAACTTTTTCGTGAGAGCTGTCGAAAGAAAGACCGTTGGAACAGAATTGAACTTCCAATATATTAACAATTTTTTCGGCTCACCCTTCCGAGCTCAGCCCGATCAGGCCCTTAGTTGTTACCTGAGGGTCCCCTTTATCAACCCTCTCAGGAATGCCTGAGTTGTTACCTGAGGGTCCCCTTTATCAACCTTCTCAGGCATGCCTGAGTTGTTACCTGAGGGTCCCCTTTATCAACCCTCTCAGGCATGCCTGACTTGCTGCCTTGAGAGGGCAATTGTACCAGATTGATGCCTGACCCGGTGTGTCGTTCCTGACCACTACTATATAATTCCAGGCAGCTCCAGGCAGCACATGGAGAAAAGCCACGACGACAAAGTCCAACATGACCCGTGGTAACCCGAGGAACTGCTGCTGCGTACGTACTGGTATCCGTGGAGGAAGACCGAAACGAAAGCGGGAGACAACTAATACAGTGTGTCCCGGTACTTCCTCAGATGGAAACGACATCGTTTGTTGTCGTCATAAAACACAAGACCCATCGCTGCATGGAAATCTGCTACGTACCAGCCTACGCTGCGGTTACCGGTGTAGACTCCAACCGGCAACAACTCGATTTTTTTTTTTCTCGACCATTTCATCGAGTTTTTGTGTTTTTTGTACTATTAATGGCGACAGCCCCCCCATTTTTTGTGGTGAGACGTACGTGTACGTACTACGCTCCGTTCGGTGTTTGTAGCGTAATATACCAATACACTTTTCAGTGTATGTATGTGCATTTCTCGCTTTTCACCCGCTGTGCCTGGTGCTCTTTCGTTGCCGGTTAGCCCCGCACAAGCACAGTCGTTTGACGACAACCGTGAATATTTTTCGGGCAACGTTTTTCATTTTTGGAAACCTCCTTCGATCTTCTCGCAGTTGACTCCTTCGACTTTTGACGTTCTGGGGGTGCGTTACTCATGTGGTGAGCAATTTATGATGTCGGAAAAAGCTAAGCTATTTGGAGATACAGCCACGTACGACAACACTATGGCCATTTCTGATCCGGCGCAACACAAGTCTTTAGGTCGTCAAGTACGTCCGTTCGATTATGTTGGATGGGAGCGTCGTCGTGAAGAGATTGTGCTTGCGGGTTCGTATGCCAAATTTGCTCAGAACGCTGCCATGAAACAACATTTGTTGGCTACAGGCAATCGTACACTTGCAGAAGCTATCCCCTTTGATACTCTTTGGGGTATTGGCTTGCCTGCACACCATCCACATGCTGCAGACCCGTCCAAATAGTCGACGTCTGGCGAAAACTTGCTTGGAATAGCATTGATGAGAGTTCGGCTTTTTCTGCGAGATATCCCGCTGGCGGGCGACGCTTCTGCCGGTTCTGCTTTTCCCGAGCCCCCTTCTTCCCAGCTCCCTTCACCGCCAAGACGTCGTGTTCACGAAGTAGCCTGAGCAGAAAGGCCGCCGGCCCACGATGACCAAGATACTGGTGCGGCTGGCGTGCGTTCAGACGCCCCTGGGGATCATGCTCCTGGAGTGCATCTTGTTGCACCCACTTTTGTTTGCGATTATATACCTCCTCTTTTGGAGCATGGGCCTGATCTGGTAGGTGAAACTCTTTCAATTGATTCCGATTCTTACACCACCCGAGTTTTGACATGGTGGGCCAACTGCTCCTTCGCAACTCTCCTGCGTCCTCCGTGACCGACTCTGTGGTAACTGCTATGATCACCGCTGGTGCTTTGACACCTGGGAGTATTCGCGTGTCGCCTTCTCGCCGCTGGGGTGGGTTTGGCGATGGGCCTGCTCCCGAACCACCAAATCTGTTCGCCTCACTGTCAACTTCCTGAATGAAGATCGCGCTACAGCTTCTTTGGCTGTTTGGGCTTGCATTGTTCCAGACAAGGCCATGGGATATGCTGTGCTTTTGGGACGTGACAGTTGGATGCGTTTCAATTCTAGGACATTTTCAACTCTCCCTCGCCCTGGACCGGACGGTCGTGTAATGGGTGAGCTCACGCTTTCTACGCGTTTTTCGGCGGGAGCTTGTGTTTTTCGCCACACATGACGGGGCGCCGGAGTCTTCGTTTCACCTCAAGTATGCCGGCACTTCGGGCATTTCTTTGGGACCGAAACCTGCTCTCATCGAGGTCAGCCTCGTCCGTTCTTCAGGTTTGCCTGCTTTGATTGGTGAGTATTTGGTGTCCTGTCGACCTGAAGTTGGTGCTCTTCCGTCTCCGGATGCGTTTGTGTCCAATGGACTTCAGCGCATCCCCCTCGCAGGTTGTGCTGAATTGGAGCCAGGTGCCCTTCTTGGAGTTGCCGCTGCGCCTTTGTTTCGTGTGCCTGTGGAAACTTTGACCAAGTCTTTCACGTCCTCAACTTCTTCACCTTCGTCGACTCCGCCGTCTTCGAACTCGTCGGCTCCGTCGACATCGACGACAGCCTCTCGGGTCAACACCGTTGATCCCATGCCAGAAGCACGACAACCTTCGAACCCCGCGCCAGACCCCCCTCCGCCGAAACCGCCCCCACAAGAACTGATGGATCGTCTGTCAGACGCGCAACGCCCCAGNGGCTCCGTCGACATCGACGACAGCCTCTCGGGTCAACACCGTTGATCCCATGCCAGAAGCACGACAACCTTCGAACCCCGCGCCAGACCCCCCTCCGCCGAAACCGCCCCCACAAGAACTGATGGATCGTCTGTCAGACGCGCAACGCCCCAGCTTCTCGCGTTTGTGGGATAGATTGCCGCCGCACATGCATGCCATCGCTTTTGATCTTCATGACCCTGGATGGTCGCCAGAGGCTATTGATCGTTTAGCAAATGCATTGCGCGATTATTCTGGTGTGTTTTCTACTTCGAAGACGGATTTTGGTGCTTGTCATGTTTTGCCCTGCAGCCTTCCTGTTTCTCATTGGGACAAGCCTGTCACTTCACGTCCCTACCGCATCAACCCATTGATGCAGAAGAAGGTCGACGCAGTTTTGGATCAATATTTGGCAGCTGAGCTTATTCAGCATTCCACCTCTCCGTGGGCCTCTCCTTTAGTGGTCATCCCCAAGTAGGATGGCTCGGTTCGCATCACCGTCAACAACAAGCGCCTTAATGCAGTGGTGGATTTAGACGGACAGCCTCTTCCGCACGTGGACGGCATTTTGGACTTTTTGTACACGGGGAAGGTATTTTCCATCTTTATCTCAACTCTGCCTTTCACCAGATTGTGTGCGACTAGGAGACCGTGCCGCTCACAGCCTTTTGCACGCCAACACAGCTCTTTGAGTGGCTGCGAATGCCGCAAGGAGCTAACGCGAGCCCGTCGTGGTTTGTGAAGGTCATCAACCGTGTGGTGCAAGGTCTAGACCGCGTCTTGGCGTATTTGGACGATGTCATTTGCTTTGACGAGGAACCTTTGGAGCATGTGCGTAACATGATTGAGTTTTTCAAACGCCTACGACAGTACAACCTCAAGCTGTCTCCAGGGAAGGCCCGTGTCGGAGCTACTCACGCAATTTCCTGGGCCACACCATCTCCCCAGCCGGCGTTAGTCCGGATGGCGACAAGGTTCGGGCGCTCACGAAGATGCCACCGCCGGCGAATGTCAAGCAACTTCGGAGTCTCTTAGGCGGTTTAAGCTACTACAGGAATTTCTGAAGAATCTTGCCACCAAGGTAAGACCGCTCAACGCCCTTCTCAAACAAGGCGTTCAGCTTAAGTACACCCCGAGCATGGTCACGATGGTTAAATCGCTGCTCCACGACCTTTCCCGCCCTCCGATTTTGGTTTTCCCTGATTGGGATGCGGTTGAAGACAACAGTCGCCCTCCGTTCGTGCTCAGATGCCTGAATAGACGGGTTTGGCGCTTCTCAAGAACAGTTGGATGGCACTGTGCGGCCTATTGTGTACATTAGCCACGCTACTCTTCCTGCCGAACGCCATTGGACCGTTTTGGATTTAGAGGCTGGTAGCATTGTCTGGGCTATTAAACGGCTTCGCGGATACCTTTAGTCGACCAAGTTTGTCATTTACTCTGATCACAAGGCTTTGGAAAGCATTGGCAAGGTGGCGAACACAATGCTCGGGTGCAACGTTGGTTGGTTTTTTTGTCCAACTTCACATACACTTTGAAGTTCAGGAAAGGCTCGGCGAATGGCAATGCGGATTTTCTTTCGCGACTGCCGTTGCCAGCGAGAGAGGAGGACAAGACCGGTCCTGACAGCATCGACGTTATTGACCAAGCGGGTTTTTTCCTCTTCCGGGCTTGCGGGTTCACCAATCATTCGTCGTCTACACCGTAGGTCGGTTTGGGTGGGCTCCGCCCTCCTTGTTCCGATGGCGTTTTTCCACCCTCTGCGTTGGAAGATTCGGACTATGGTGATTTTCGCAGACATGGACCTAGCATGGACGAGCTTGCATTTTCGCCTCCTTCTGGAGACGATTGCAGGAGTTCTTCGGGAGTTTTCGCGGTTTCGCCCGCTTCTGGAGATACTGTGCCTGTTTCTGCGTCTCCTTTCGTACCTATCAAGTCGCAATGTCCACGCCGGCATGTCCACGTTTTGTCTTCGTTGCCGGAACAAAGACCGCTTGTTTCTTCGAGGACTTGAGCTAAAACTTCAGCTGCGTCAGGTTCTCCTGTCGCCGGCCCCACATATTTTAGGCGACAGCCT